AGTCTTGGCATGCCGTGAAAAACAGAAAATCAGGGAGATATAATAATTCATTTGTTACATGCTACAGTTGAATAAAAATTAAATTTGTCCCCCTATTTTGTGGCCAGTAGACTGGGAAGCATTAAACTAACCAGTACTCATGTGTGGAGATTATAAACTATGCTAATTGAAAAGTACCAGGTGATACATAGCCTGGTACTTTTTTGTCAAAGAATTGCTTTATGAAGAAGCACTTTCTAATGGGTAACCAGAAAAGGGCTTCACCCATTTGTTTTTGACTTCTATGATAGTCACTGCATATGATCCCTTTAAGTGTCTTTAAAAAAATGACTTGTGAATTTGATAGCATTTGGGGAAAGAAAAGCCTTATATGATTAAAATTTGTAAATTTTCAAGGTCAGATAGAATTTAATTTTGCTCCTAGAACTTTTGTCTTCTGAGTATCTACCTAAATTAGGCCTTTGACTATTTATAGGTATTCATAAATACTACTTTAGCCATGTAAATTAAAAAGTTAAAATACTTAAACTTTAGTATATTTATTTATCTCGTTACTCTTTTTTCTAATTTTGTATGAAATATGAAAGATCTTTATTTTGGTTTGGTTTACTTTGGGCTGCTAACCAGCAGTGTTAGGAATTAATGTAGGGCCCCCACTGGTATGTCACTGTCATTGCCTACATTTTCTTTGCTGTAATATTACCTGCTTATAGGTTGTCAACCCATTTTATCTGAATTTGAAAATCTATCTACGTTTCCAGATTAAATTTCTACCTTTCATATAGAGTTTGATTTTAATAAAATGTTTAATTGAAGCATCCTTACCTTTTATCTACTTTCAACAAATAGTAATTTTACCCCAGCTACTTTTCATGAAGAGGGCTTTGAAAATTAAAGGAATTTTTATTATTATGGTAACCTTACGAGTGAAAATAAGTTACTTTAATTGCCTTATTTCATTAGTTGTCATTTTATTTTGTACTAAGCTGGTAAACTAATTGTGGTTTAGAATAGTTTTATGTTCACTCCAGATTAACTGAGAAACAGAACAAAAGTTTTCCTTACATTCCTAAATGAATAAACCTCATAAATATAATTCAATAAACTAGTAAATGTAGCCACTTGACTGATTCCGTAAATCGTGTTAAAACATTCTAAAATGTTGTAAATAGTTTAATGTGAATACTGTTAGATAAACAGAAAATAATTGCTTATAAAAGTCTAACTAAAAGTTTAACCAGTTACCAAGTCGTGGCCCAATTTTATCTTCTACCTATAGTTTTTACTAGCCTTTTTTAACTATAATAGTGAGTGATCATTACTTTATATTCTCATAAGTTAGAAATACTTGAATCCCAAATTAATTTTATCGTTTAAGAAAACTTATTTTTAACATAATTTTTTAGTATGGTTTGTAAATAAAGTTTGTAAACCTGTATTTGAAATACCAAAGTTTTTACTGTTTTTATAACACTGTAAAATACTAGAAAAATGGGCTTCAAATTTTTTAATAGCTGTCAGAAAGTTTGTGTAGTTTTTTTTTTTCTATTTGGTTAAGATGTGAGTTGGAAATGTATTATTTGAAACATTTAAACTAATTTTTGTATTTAACAGCAGTTTCAGAGATTTGTTTTTTCAACTCAGTTGAGTTGTAGACATCAAATAGAAATGTCCAGTTTTGCCTCTTTTAAGTACTGTCCAGTTGAAACCTCCTGACTCATGTACTGCTACACAAACTAGAAACTGACCATTTATTGTTGATTCAACACTCCAAATACAGATCAATATATATATATATACTAATCATTTTATTTCATGTAAAATTTTTACATCTAGGGTGCCTATTTATTTTTATAGATGTTTTCATCCAGATATAAGCTCATTATAACTTTGTAAATAATTCAGCCAACAGTTGTAATGTTTAAAATACTCACCTTCACAATGTTACGTTTTCATGTGAAATAAATTTCTTCTCATCCAAAAAAAATTTTTAAGATAAACTGATTTTTAAGTTTATATGATTGGACTTCTCTTTGCATTCATGAACTGTGCGTCACCCTCCCCCCAACATGGATTACTATGGGTTAAGTCACGGATACTTGGAATTTCACTGATCATGAAATGTTATCTATCACAGGAGAGATCCTAAGAGTTAAACTCCAGCAAGGTCTAAAGCACAGCTCCTTAGAAAAGGAGTTGGCAAACTTTCTATAAAGATAGAAAATAATTTAGGCTTTGTGGACCATAATATTTCTGTAACAACTACTCAGCTCTGCCTTTGTAATGTGAAAGCAGTCATAAACAATATGTAAATGAATGAGCATGGCTGTTTTCCAGTAAAACTTTGTCAACATAGAAATCCAGATTGCATATAACTTTCATGTCATTAAAGTCTTTTTTTTTCCCCCCAATCATTTTAAAATGTAAAAAACATTCTTAGCGCACAGGCTGAAGTCTCCAAATGTACGCCCATGCCACTTATGGACTCAGTATTTGCAGCTCTTTACATCCTGAAACGTTCAGGTTAAGCCCCCTAAAAACTATCCCTTGAAACTGCTAATAAGCCAGTTCATTTCAAAAGGAACTACTAAAACAATCATTTCACTTATATAAAATGGTGTGAATTTACAAAAGAATTTATCAGAGTAAAGTCACATTGATTTTCTTTTGATGTCTTTTTTTATGTTTTGTTAGCAAGTTTGCAACTTCTTGGTGTTCCATTTATCCACTCCTTAAAAGCCTTCAAACTGAGGGTAATGTAAGCAGTCACTATACTTGCTATGGCAGTTTAATCGTAGGTACAATTTCTTATCTATAGGAAAGATTCAAACTTCATACTGCCACCAATTTTAAAAATTTTAAACACTGCCAATTACAGTCATGTCATATTACTAAGTCAGGGTTCTCCATAGAAAATCAACAGGATATATATAGAGACATATAGAAATAAATTTATTATGAGGGATTGGCTCACATGATTATGGAGGCTGAGAAGTCCCACCATCTGCTGTCTGCAGACAGTAAGCCCAGGAAAGCCAATGGTGTAGTTCCGGTCCAAGTCCAAAGGTCTGGGAACCAAGGGGCCCTGCTCCATGTCTGAAAGCCAGAGAATCAGGAGAACCAATGTCCAAGGGTAGAACATGGATGTCCCAGTTCAAGCAGAGAGAAGACAGAATTTGCCCTTCCTCTGCCTTTTTATTCCAGCCAGGCCCTCACGGGATTGGATGATGCCCACCCACAGTGGAGTGGATGGCTCTTTTTTATTTGGTCTACTGATTCAAATGCTAATCTCTTCTGCAAACACCCTCATGGACAAACCCAGAAATCTGGGCATCTGCTAGCATAATCAAGATGACACATAAAATTAACCTTCACACCAAGATCTCTCCATCTTCACTATACTAGAAATTTTTAGAGTATCTGGTAGTTGTGGTAGTAGGCTGATTTTAGGCTCAAAAAGACAGTATGGATTATGATCGGAAGTCTGTGTGTGACCTAACAGTAAACTATGTGAGAACTGTTAATCACCTCACAATCTCACTACCAGGTAATTTGTTACAATAAAACCAAACTCAGCTATATAAGTAAACACTTACTAGACGAAACCATTAGCAAGCAGTGCAGAAACAGTTCACACAATTGATTTGGTAAACTCAGTGAAATCCCAGTTCTGTGTTCCCACAGATGTTTCAACCATACCTTCCATAGATGGTTCTCTTTAGGTTGATGCGGCAACACCTTAAAAGCATGATTGCTAACTTTATACTCAGGAATTATATTCCAGACTTGACTAACTCTAAGAACCATTTTGAAAGGTAGGAAGATACACAGAGAGTTTACCAGATCTTATTTCCTGTTTAAAAGGGAAGGGAATATTCTCAAAATATTTAAGACAATTCATATATACTGAATGCAACTAATTTAAACAAGAGACCACTTTTACCATTCCTCATGTAAAGCCTTTAGGGCTAACAGGAATATTTTCTTTTTGAGACGGGGTCTCTGTTGCCCAGGCTGGAGTGCAGTGGCCCCATCTTGGCTCACTGCAACCTCCACCTCCCGGATTCAAGCAATTCTCATGTCTCAGCCTCCCGAGTAGCTGGAACTACAGGTGCATGCCAACATGCCCGGGGAAAATTTTTTGTATTTTTTAGTAGAGACAGGGTTTCACCAGGTTGGCCAGGCTGGTCTCACAACTCTTGACCTCAAGTGATCCACTGCCCTTGGCCTCCCAAAGTGCTGGGATTATAGGCGTGAGCCACTGCGCCTGGCCAACAGTAATATTTTTTATTAGCTACTACAGCTTAGAGTAGCTGCTATGGGAGTGTGGCCTTTTTGATTAAATACCAGCTGATCAACCCTAGAATGTAAATTCTTGTTTTATAACATTTAGATTTAAATAACAGTAAGAATGTAAGCTCTATGAAGGCAAGAATGCCTTTTTGTTCTGTTCACTGCTGTGTCTAAAATAATGTCTGGCTCAAATATTTGTTGAATGAGTAAATATGCTGACTTTGCTGAAGTATTTAAGCAAGTTACAGATATTATAAAAATAAATGTTTTGGGCACAAGCACACTTAATGCAACAGTAATAAAAAATAGGTTTGAAACACATAATCCTTCATTCTAGGAGGCTCAAGAATGTAAAAGGAAAAAAGGGGGAAGATACCCAGGTAAGAGGGCATGCATGCTAGCTTTCCAATACTTTGATATTACCTGCTTTTTCTAAAACTGTATCAGCCTGTCACCCACCCATAACCTATCTTTTCATAACAGAGTCCAACTAAACCCAAAAATTAAAACTGGAACTTAGCCTCTGTGCAATCTAAGAATACTTTGTTCCCTCTCTCAAAATCTTTCCCTGCTTTTGAATAACTGGCTTTTGAATTCATAAAAACCTTCCCTTATTAATCACCCTATTACTTGCATCATATTAAATCCTGATCAACTCTTAAAACATTAAAAGACATTACTATATTTGTTAATGAATACACAAGACCTTTAAGTATAAATGCTTTTATATTCAGCTCCTGTAAAGCCATTAGATGTTGTTGGAAAGTTTTTAAACACGAACCAAATGGTTTAATTTTAACAACTTAGCTAGGAATGGGTGAAATCCTACCCATTTAATAGAGTTCTGCAAATTAGTAACAAAGTGTAAAATGAAAGGAAGGGTCCCTTGGAGATGTGAAATTCTTCTGTTGAGAGTCTTGTCTTCTTTATTCAAGAAGTTTGTAGCCATTTTCAGAATTCACTCAAGAACCAACTTCTTAATTTAGATATCAGCAAACGAGTCTGTAAAAAGCAAGTATTTGTCAGCAATATTTGCTTTATCTTCCCAATTTTTAACACTTTATGCCTATTTACATATTGACAAAAGAAAAAGAAAAGCCTGGAACATTTCTTGTAAGGCCTCTATTTTCTATCCAGAGCTGAAAATTCAGGTCATAAACACACACACACACACACACACACACACACACACACACACACACACACACCCCCCCCCCACTGTATTTGAGATTATTAGTCTCTACCAAAATAGGGAGGGAGAGTAAAACTCTCCCTTTACAAATGGCTCGACGATAATTTTATACAAATCCCTATCCCTTTTGCCATCCTCCCCATTAATCCCTCTGGCTCCCCTACCCCCTTTTTTTTGAGACAGGGTTTTGCTTTGTTCCCCCAGACGAGTATAGTGGCGCGTTCACAGCTCACTGAAGCCTCGACCTCCCCAGCTCAAGCAATCCTCCTGTTTCAGCCTCCCAAGTAGCTGGGACTAAAGGCGTGAGCCACTGTGCCTGGCCCTCTCTGTCTTCTCTAAGTTACCACACCATCCAAGAAATCAGACAGCGAGGCTTAAGACACTCAACTCTTGGTGAAAATATAGGATGGGGGTTGGGAAAATTGACTGCCTCTCAAGAAGTGAGAATTTCAGAAGTAACTCATAGGCATGGTGACTGAGAGGAGTTAACATTGAGTGAACAATCAACTCCAAAATCCAGGAGAGCTGTCTAGATGGGCTACACTGCTCTTCTCCCATAGGAGCCCTCTTTCATCTCACTGCTTCTCCTTAGCTTGTCTCTTATCACCGTCTCCATTTGGTGTCCGCTTCCTCCTGCCCTATTCTTAGAGAATATCCTCTGCCAGAATTGTCTTTTCAGAGCGAGTGGCGATGAAAATGGAGAGCATGGGTTTTACAAGTAAACTACAGAATTCTGTGACTTAGTGTTTTAGGATATGTGGATGTGTGTAAGAAAAGGACAAAGTGTCTCAGGTTTCTGGGAGGTAACGGTGGATAAAGTTGGCGTTTACTGAGATGGGAACACTGCAAGGCAAGTAAATTTGGGTAAGAAGCTGTTAAGAGTTCAGTTTTGGACATGTTAAGTTTGAGATAGCTGCGTAGTCTGCTCATGTTAAAAAACAGCTGTATAGTAAAAAACAGCTTTCGTTGAGCACTTACTACTGCCAGGCAACACGCAAATCACTACGATCTCAATCTTCACTACACCCCTATGACCTGGGTCACTAACGGTCCCAAAGGGCAGATGAAAAAACAAAGCTCCAAAAAGCGAAATAACTTCTCCGGTCGCTTCACAGTGCTGCAGGAACTCAAGCCTAGCTGGTTTCACTCCAAATCACGAGAAAATATGACGCCAAGTTTTCTCCACACTTCTTTGGAGACTCCCACGGACGTTCAAAAGAAGAACATTTTACTCCTAGTCCTTCTCCCCCACCCACCCGACTGCGCCACTCACCAGCTGCGTAATCTTGGACATATATAAACTCTGGAATTCAGTCCCCTCTCCGCCCAAAAGAGAGCAAATTATCTCTATGCTCCTTACCACTCCAATTCTGCATTCAAGATACTCACCATGGCAAAAAATACACAAAGAGAAACACCACCACATCGAAAAGGATGAAGAGCCAGAGGTCCAACCAGTAGGAGTGTTTGGGAAGCCCGTTTGCCCCAGACCGAGGCCGCACATCGAGGTTCTGCCCTGCTCCCTCGCTCAAGCCTCGCCGCTCCCGGAGATCATCTCGACCATCAACACCCGGTGCGTCCACCTCCATCTCGCTTCTGCAGCTTCCTAACAATCCCAGAAACTGAAAATGCTTAGATTCCTGGACTTTGGTGTTCGGCGGACCGGAAACTGAGTGGAATCCCGCCGCCTGCGCAGTCCGCCACTCACCGGGTTCCGGAAAACACGCTGAGCCTACCCTTCCCAGCGCGCAGGCGCCTGGCCCGGCTTTCCGCTGCCTACGTGACCGCGGACAGGAAGCGCGGCCTCCGCTTTGACACTAAGTGAATGGGCCCGCCTACTTCTGCCTCGCGGCGTCCCAGGCCGCAAGGTGGTTATTTAGGTTTCGTTGGAAGAAATACACTCTCCTCCCACTGCAGAGGGACCATTCCAGTCAGGTGATGGACTCCTCCCTGGAACTGCCCAAGGTCACCTCTCCTATCCCTGTATTCCGTTTGGATCCTTATGCCAACGTGTTAGGAAGGACCCCTCTGGTGGGTTTTGTACTGTCTCTAGCATTTTACACTTAGTATTTGAAACACCACCAGTGAGGTGGACGTCCTACGCACAGGGCTGAGTTTCCAAAAGGGCCAGAGACCAGCACGTATTTTGCAGGTACTTCAAGGGAGTGGGTTTAAGAATAACCTGGCCACGCCCCCTGTAATCCCAGCACTTTGGGAGGCCGAGGCAGGCGGGTCACCTGAGGTAAGGAGTTCGAGACCAGCGAGGCCACCATGCTGAAATCCCGTCTCTACTTAAAAAAAAAAAAAAAAAGTACAAAAATTAGCCGGGCGTGGTGGCGGGCGCCTGTAATACCAGCTGCTCGGGAGGCTGAGGCAGGAGAATCGCTTGAACGCGGGAGGCGGAGGTTGCAGTGAGCCGAGATCGCGCCACTGTTGCACTCCAGCCTGGGCGACAGAGCGAGACTCCGTCTGGGGGGAAGAGGGGCGGGGAAGAATAATCCAAAGGTTGTTTGACTTTGAGTGTGAGCCTCAGCAAGAATAGAATGCTAGCAGGAAGAAAATGACCCATACCGCCTGGATTTTACCTAGTGGGTCCAATTTCAAATATTGTCTTTCTTTTCACATGATTCCTGAATTGTTCAGAAAATATGGGCACCCAGATATATGTGGTTCTCTTAGTGCATAGTAAATGGAGATAAGACTGTAGTTGTGTTTTTACAGAAAGTCATTAAATCGTCGTAAAACTTCTTTGAAGGGGCTGTACTGCATTTTATAGAATTAGAAAATGAAACAAAAAAGGAGTGAATTGTCTAAGGTTACCAAAAAAATTATAAAGCCTAAAATTAACTCCAAATCCAGCAGTCTTAAAGCTGTTCTATAGCTTCCTAGCCTTGCTCCAATTTGCCTCGAAATTAATTGCCAGGTTTTAGAGACAGAGATAGTGTATGACCTTTCAAGAAAAATGCTTTGTAGATTCTGGGATGAGAGGGTCATTACCTGATAATTAATTAGATTGTGTGCTGTAATGCAGATTGTCTGATGATAGTAGACAAAAAGACCCTGGGCATAAGTGGCATTGAATCTTTACAAAAATTAGGAAAGGCAAGTAAACAATTGCCCCTACCGGAGACGGAAGCATTCTTCTCGCTGACAAGGTAGGATCAGTTACTCCTAGTTATTGAAGTAGGATTGATAAAAAATTATTGAGATTATTAGTGATGAATAAGCATGACATAAACTGAACAGGTCTTGAAGTGGTTTTAAACTTGTCCTTGGCCCAGAGCCACATGCTCATCATGAGGGGATGTTGATAGTATGATCTGATCTTGAGTCAGGAACGTCTGTCAGACTTGGAAGAGTAACTAATGCAAATAAGGAGGGGTTATTTTAACTAAATTCAGTTGAAAGATTCTATTTCCGACTTTACCCTTGTAAGAGTCCCACTGATTGTTGATTATTCCACATTACAAAAATGAGTTTAGAGTGTGTTGTAGCTGGTTTTGAACTACTGGCCTCAAGTGATCCTTCTGCCTTGACTTCCCAAAGTGCTGGGATTACTGGCATGAGCCACCTTGCTCCGTTGGCATTTGCCATTGTCGAAGCAATTTAAATTTAAAAAGTACTGTACAGAAATCCAGGTTCACTGTCAATCATCTACTCCTCTGCACTTGTCCAACCACCTTGAACTTTCTACTTCACATGTTCAAGTGAAAAATATGCACTAGGGACTACAGATTGAATCATTGCACTGTAACCATGATCCAACACTTCCATAATTCTGTCAGCAAAATTAATCTGATTGGGCTGGGGTGGAGAAGGTGGTGCATGAAAATGCTATAACCATCAGGCCAAAGACAGCTAAGTGTTTTTAAGAAGACGTTACAAACCTTCTGAACTTCAAGTGCAGTAAGTTCTCAGGAGGGAGATGATGGTGAATTTTGCTTTAACCTAAGGGATAATGCAAATTTTTCTTATGCAGCTCTCAAACTAGTATGTCCATGTGATAAAGCATCCTTGTGATCATCCTAGGAATTAAATTAATTTTACAGAATAACCTCTCCAACAGTGGAGAATTTGGTTACTGTAATTTTTATCTGGAAGTATGTGTGTTTCTCTTAAATTATTCTTTCTCATCTTGATTTCATCTTTTCTTCCTTTTCAAATTGAGTACCTGTCCTAACAACAGCCCTGTTGATTGGTACCACAGGTTACTTCTCCATCTTCTGGGTCATTTTATTTATTCATTTTGTTGTTATTGTTCTCTTAAATTCTTTTTTTTTTTTTTAAAGGGAGTCTTGCCCTGTTGTCGCCCAGGCTGTAATGCAGTGGCATGATCTTGGCTCACTACAACCTCTTTTTTTTTTGTGGAGACGGAGTCTTGCTCTGTCACACAGGTTGGAGGGCAATGGTGCGATCTTGGCTCACTGCAACCTCCGCCTCATGGCGTCAAGCGATTCTCCCTGCCTCAGCCTCCCGAGTTGCTGGGATTACAGGTGCCTGCCACCACGGCGGCTAATTTTTGTATTTTTAGTAGAGACAGAGTTTCGCCATGTTGGCCAGGCTGGTCTTGAACTCCTGACCTCGGGTGATCCGCCTGCCTCGTCCTCCCAAAGTGCTGGGATTACAGGCATGAGCCACTGTGCCTCGGCTGTTCTCTTTCATTCTAACTCCTTTGTATATCTTCCATAGTTTTCTTTGTTTAAGAGTTGTACTATCTGCTGGGCGCTATTGTTCACACCTGTAATCCCAGCACTTCAGGAGGCCAAGGTGGGTGAATTGCTTGAGCCTAAGTGTTCAAGACAAGCCTGAGCAACATGGCAAAATCTCTTCTCTACAAAAAACAGTTAGTTGAGTGCTACACCTGTAGTCCCAGCTACTCGGGAGGCTGAGTTGGGAGGATAGCTTGAACTGTGATCGTGCCACTGCACTTCAGCCTGGGTGACAGAGCAAGACTCTGTTCCCTCCCTGCTCTAACAAAGAAAGAGTTGTACTATCATCCTAACTAGGTTGCACCTTTTATCTTTATCTTGGCCTTAGGAGTTCCCACCTTTATACTCACAATTAATCTGGCTCCACTCTACTCAGCCAACCTGGTGCCCAGGAAACATTCTTTGCTCCAGTCAGAGTGCTTTCTTCCATTTTCCTCATGGAAGCTATTCTCTTGGCCTCTGGGCTTTGGTGCATGTTTTTCCTGTTATACTGGAAATATAGTATATTTTTTCCAGCATTGGGGATTGCTTTCTCACCTGTCTAAATCCTACTCATCCTTTGGGGCCCAACTTAAAGTGCCAACTTCATAAAATTTCCTTCACTACAATTCACACTGATCTCTCCATTCTTGGTATTTCTACATACCAATTGTGAAAACTTCACATTTACAAGTCACATTTAACTTGTCTCCACCTTCTATATCATGTTTTCTTCTTGAGGAGACGGTTATTTTCTCAAGATGAAGGCAGTGAATGAAATATTTGTTTCCATAGATTTTTGCCTGCCTTTGGCACCTATTATTTCCCTCTACATTCTGTAATGGCCTCGTATTAATGGAGCTATTTGTCAGATTGGTCATCTTTCAAAATTTCCCTACCTCTGGCTCAAAAAACACTGAAATTTTCTTGATATTGTCTGGCACATTGGCTTGCTTTGTAGGAATTTTATGTAGATTTTCTCTCCTGTTAGAGTATTAAGTTTTGTTAATTTGTTTTGAGACAGGGTATTGGTCTGTCACACATGCTGGGGTGCAGTGGTGCAATCAGAGCTCTTGGCAACCTTGAACCCCTGGGCTCAAACAGTCCTTCTACTCAGCTTTCCCAGTTGCTAGCACTACAGGCACACACCACCATGCGAGGCTTGCTTTTTATTAATGTTTATTTTTGTAGAAATGGGGTTTCACTATGTTGCCCAGGCTTTTCTCAAACTCCTGGTTTCAAGTGATCCTCCTGCTTCAGCTTCTCAAACTGCCAGGATTACAGGCATAAGCCACAGAACCTAGCAAGTATTAAGTGTTCTTTAAAGGAAAGACAGTATTTTTGCCATCTTGCAATCTCCACAGCTCTTCGAACAGTGTCTTCCACATGGAAGAAATTTAATATGTATTCAACAATATTTTGTTATATTCTGCAACTACTAACACAATCCCAGTCAAAAAAATACTTGTAAAATTTTGTGTTTTAGAACATAATGGTGTATGATACCAGTGGCATCTAACACTACTGATCTGTACTCTCAGCGGGGATACTTTCTGAGATGTTTTGAAATACTAGTAATGGATATGTGCCAATCTTTTCCCCTTTGTGGATTTTCCTTCTTTAATTTCAGTCAATACTTTTTAATACCTGCTGTGTGTCAGGCATTGTCCAAGGAGCCATAAGAGATACAGAAGCAATACCAACCGATTCATTAAAAATACTGACTGAGGACATATAACAGAACAATGAAGTTTTCAAACAGCATCACAGAGCCTGGGGTTCTGCATAATGATTTGGGTATTTGGAAGGCTGAGCAGAACTGGCTGTGAACACACTAGTCAGGTACAATTAAACCTCTTTGTGCTACTTACTTACACATGTATAAACAGACTTCAACCATAAAAACTTAGTTTTATTTATATTTTAGAGTTTCATACAAGATTTTATTTCAAAACAAAGCATCCTTCTGCTTTTAAAAGTTTAAAAACAACTTCAGTAGAGCAGAGCTTGACTAGTAGGCACAAATGACAAAGATGTTGAAACCTACAACTTTGAAATTTCGTTAAGCTAACCATCAGCAATCAACCTGTTATTTGTTTTATTGAAAGGTATTAGAGAGGCAGTCATTCAGGATGGAGTTTCAAAGGTTAGTCAATACATTTTTTTTTTTTAATCTCATAAGATTATAGGTTTCCACGCATAGGAAACCTGTGCTTGGAATCAAAACCTAGGCTTGGAATTAAAAAG